CTCTGATTAGAAGGGGGAGCTCCTGATATGAAAGGGGGGACTCTGATGGGAAGGGGGGGCTCCTGATATGAAAGGGGGGCTCCTGATGTGAAAGTGGATCTCCTGATATGAAAGGGGGACTCTGGTGTGAAGGGGAGCTCCTGATGTGAAAGGGGGGCTCCTGATGTGAAAGGGGGACTCTGATGTGAAGGGGGAGCTCCTGATATGAAAGGGGGGACTCTGATGGGAAGGGTAAGCTCTTGATATGAAAGGGGGGCTCTGATGGGAAGGGTAAGCTCTTGATATGAAAGGGGGGACTCTGATGTAAATGAGAAGCTCCTGATATGAAAGAGGGTCTCCTGGTGTGAAAAGGGAGCTCCTGATGTGAATGGGGGGACTCTGATGTGAAAGGGGGCTCCTTATGTGAAGAATGCCCTTGAAGTGAAGGGGGATTCTAATGTGCAAAAGGCTCTTGAAGTGAAGAGGGTATTCTGATTTAAATGGAGCTGTTGAAGTGAAGTCAAGGGGGGCTTCTGATATGAAGGTACTTCAAGTGAAGGGGGGCTTCACATGCAAATGGGATGGAGTCTGATAAGGGGGGATCTGAATCTGTCAAGGGGTCTCCTCATTTGGAGGGGGGTGGGGATTCTGATGTGAAAGGGGTACTCTGATGTAAAGGGGGATTCTTCTGTTATAGGGGGCACCTGATGTAAAGGGGGGCTTTGCTGTGAAAGGAGAGCTCCTGATACGAAAGCGGGGCTTCTGATGTAAAAAGGCTCTTGTGCTTCTTGTGTAAAGAAGGCTACTGAAGTGAAGGGGTGCTTCTGATTTCAAGAGGGCTCTTAAAGTGAAGGAGGGGGGCTTCTGATGTGAAGAGGGCTTTTAAAGTGAAAGGGGAACCTAATTTTTTGTTTTTCATGGGGTGCCCCCTCCCTAAAATCCATATCAGACCCCTGTCTGGGATAAGGGCCTGGTATGGATGTTGATGGGATCACACGTAGATTTTTACATTTACATTTTAGACTGGGGTACCCAACATTTTGCATAATTTTAAAGGGTGCAGTGACTTTAAAAAGGTTGCAAAACACTGGTCCATACCTGAATTTGACTTGGTATGAGCATCTTGCAATGTCGAGCCAGCAGAGGGATGACCTCAGCGGTTAACGCATGTTAGAATATGAGTATCACTGCAAGATATACCTTATATAGTTACATAATACAATGGTGTCTTCCCTTCTGCTGGCTGGGCAGTCAAAAATCAGCAGCAGACTGATGCTTCTTTTCTAAGGTGCTCGGGGCAGCAGCCACACACTAACGTCATCAAGTAGAATGCAGGACCAATAGCCCTTCATTGACAACAAGGGCCCATCCACAACCTTGTTGGGCACTAGAAAAAAATATCCTTGCTGTGGGGCCTCCCTGCAATGCAAGGGTCAAATACTTGCTAAGTCTGTGAGTTGAGGAATACGGAGTAATAGTTACCTTATTCCTCACTCCGGCAGTACAACTGGACTCCCCACAGCTTCTTCTCTAAGGTGCTCCGGCCAACGGCCACACACTAACGCCATCAAGTAGAATGCAGGACCAATAGCCCTGCATTGTACACTAGGACAGCGAAGGCCCATCCGCAATCCAGAGCATCAGAGAAGAGAGGTGACCAAGGAATAAGGTAAGTATTACAGCCTATTGCTCTTCCCCTTACACCTAATGAGAATTTAGCCCTGGCAGTGTGTGTATGGGGTGGGGGTAATGGGCACTGCAGGAGTATTTTTTTTCTCATTCACGGAGTTTAGCTTTAAATCTGTTTGAATATCTGAATATTTTAATTCAATAAAGTTAAAAGGTTGCCATGAATAAACTGTGTGAGTGGGGATCAGGGGATGGTTTGCCTGAAGTATGATGTCTGACTGCCGTTAAGGTGAAAGTAAAAGGTGAGCTCTTGCCATAAATTACACTTTATGGCACACTGCCGTGCCCAAGCACTGACCAGCTAGACTGTCAGTTGCTTCTCCTTCCCCCATGGCCACCAGTTCCTGCACTGCTACTTCCCGATTTACTGCTGTCTTGTTTGGTCATTGCGCTGCCTTTGATGATGTATACAGTAATACCTTGGTTTACGAGCATAATTCGTTCCGGAAGCATGCTTGTAATCCAAAGCGCTTGTATATCAAAGCGAATTTCCCCATAGGAAATAATGGAAATTCAGATGATTCGTTCCACAACCCAAAAGTATTCATATAAAAATGATTATAATACTGTACTGTAATATAATACTGTACAAAATATAAAGAAAAATAAGCCAATTGCCAGTACCTTCGTGGCTGGTGTGAGGGGGACGAGAGAGAGGAGGATTATTGTGTAGGACGACTTTCACTATCACTAACGGAATCACTGCTATCTCTTGACTCAATGGAATCTTTTTCATTTCGTAAAACCTTAACAAGGAATCTATCCAATGTGACATTGCATTGTCGTTAAACAGACACATCGCTCGCACTGCTACAGCCTTATTCAGGGGGCTGTTTTTCTACAAAATTTTGCTCTTAGTGCAAGACATTGCTTGTATATCAAGGCAACATTTTTCAGAAATGTTTGCTTGTCTTGCAAAACACTCTCAAACCAAGTTACTTGTAAACCAATGTATTACTGTATTGCCCCCGATACCCGTCCCTGTAAGATGCCAGGAATGAGCCGGACTGCAGTGTATACATTCATGTATAGGTATTTTATGTAGAAAATGTTACTATGATCTCCCATGATCTAATGACCTTTTTTTATACCTAGGTGAAATGTAAGCTCCTTGGTTTACAGTTCCACACAAGCTGCCAGGATGGTGTATGGAGAATTCTTCCACCGAAATAAAGGTGATGAGGAGGTGCTGAAGTTAAACGTCGGGGGCTTTAAGCAGTCAGTAGCCCAAAGGACTTTGTTGAAGTTCCCTCATACAAGACTGGGGAAACTACTCAATTGCCATTCAGAAGAAGCCATACTTGAACTCTGTGATGACTATAATGTTGCTGACAAGGAATATTACTTTGACAGGAACCCTTCCTTATTTAGATATATCTTGAACTTTTACTACACGGGGAAACTCCACTTCATGGAAGAGCTGTGCGTGTTTTCCTTTTGCCAAGAAATCGAATACTGGGGTATTAATGAACTTTTTATTGATTCTTGTTGTAGCAACAAATATCAGGAAAAAAAGGAATGTATTTCAGAGGACTGGGATCAGAAGAGTGATGTCATCAGCATGGACTCCACTTCTGACCAGTCCTCTGTTTTTGAGAAGGAACTGGAGCTCTTTGATAACTTAAAGTTTGGAAACTTTCGCAGAAAAGTATGGGTCCGTCTGGAAAACCCGGCTTTTTCTTTATCGGCAAAGCTTATAGCTATTTCTTCCCTAAGCGTGGTCTTAACGTCAATAGTAGCCATGTGCATCCATAGCATGCCAGAATTCCAAAAGGTAGATTACAACGAACGACAACTCGAAGATCCAGTCCTCGCAGTGGTGGAAATTATATGCATTGTCTGGTTTACTACAGAATTGGTCGTCAGGCTATCGGTAGCTCCTTCACAGAAAAAGTTTTGGAAGAACCCCATGAACATCATAGATTTTGTCTCTATAATTCCTTTTTATGCCACCCTGGTTCTAGACAGGCAAGACGAAGAGAATGAAGGCATTGAGAACATGGGAAAGGTCGTCCAAATCCTGAGACTGATGAGGATTTTTCGGATTCTAAAACTTGCCAGGCACTCGGTTGGGTTGCGGTCTTTGGGAGCCACTTTGAGACACAGCTATCATGAAGTTGGGCTTCTACTCTTATTTTTGGCTGTTGGGATTTCAATATTTTCAGTTCTGGTTTATTACCTGGAAAAAGATGATGAATTGTCCCCTCTTGTGAGCATCCCTATCTGCTGGTGGTGGGCCACCATTAGCATGACTACGGTTGGCTATGGAGACACACATCCCGTAACACTGTATGGAAAGCTTGTGGGCAGTGTTTGCATTATCTGTGGTATACTAGTAGTTGCCCTTCCAATAACCATCATTTTTAACAAATTTTCTAAATATTATCAAAAGCAGAAAGCAATAGATGTAGATGGCTGCAATGACGATGAACAAAAAGACAAATTTAATGACCTTCCTTATTTCAACATAAGAGACATATATGCAAGAAGGATGAATTCCTTCATTTCCAGTCTCTCGTCTGTCGGGATTATCGCAAGTAATGACTCAACAGATGCCTCTAGTATCCAAGAACTGGATGATGCTTATAATGCCACTTTCAAATGACACATACTGTATGGTTCTGTCCTTTGCCATGCTTGTTATGATTTATCATCATCACTGATTGCTACCTCCTTATTTGAGTTGGGTTTATTGAGTACACCTAGAACTGCTCATTCAGTGCAGGTTGGAAAGGCATACTACAACATTGTATGCTCACTGTTTACACTTCTCAATGGCTTTGACCATGTACGTATTACACCCCATGAATGTGTTCATTACTGTCTAAAATCTAAAATTCATTGGTGCAGAGGCTGCTTTCTTTAAAGATTATTAAGACAAAGCAACAGGTTTGCTTTAACCCCACCCCCTATCAGCCTATACTTACCTTTTCTGCACTCCATTCAGAACTAGAAACCAAAAGGAAATGCTCAGTACTTCTGGGTATGGAGGAGGATATGAATGCCTCCATGGTAGAACGCTGGGCCAATCAGCTCTGTCATACAAGGCTATAGCCCAGTGTTAGCTATGCCTCTGGTGACTTTTAGCAAACACAGGGCTTCACTCTCACTCCTAGTGGATGAACACAGAGGTGGGGAAGGGAAAGGAAGATAAGTATATGCATATGTGCAGATCTGCATTAAAGTAGGCCTGTTGCATTGCCCTTTTCGGCAAAGCACAGATTCATATTAGGGATTAAGCACATTTGTTGTGAAAAGTAAGACCACATTTGGCAGTTGATGGGCTGCAACACAAACAGGTACCTTGTAGGCTTAGCAGTGTCTCCACTACCCTGCACAGCAGATGCTGATCTAGAATGGACGATTGTATAGCAGTTGTTGGCCAACATGTACAAGTTTATATGCAGGGTCCCTATCAGCCTAGCTTATGGGGAAAGACAGCCAACCTGCTCAGTAATGCCATGGGGAGTTGTGAACCTGCAACTAGGGTTGCCACCTGTCCGGAATTCACCCGGACAGTCCGGGTTTTGAATGCTGTGTCCGGGTTTCATGGCAGCAGAAACCCGGACACAAGATGTCAGGCAGACAGGGGCAACAAAAATTAAGATAGGGCCCCCCCCCACTGAAAATAGTCTTTACTTGCATATGAATGTGCGGCGCTATTTACATATAAAACATTTCTGTGCGTCGCTAAGAGTGTTCGGGTTCCACATGAAGAAAGGGTGGCAACCCTACCTGCAACAAATGTGCAAACTTAGTGTAGTTGAAGCATCCTGAGCTTAAGAGGTACTTGTCTACTGCCACCTGTGGGCTGCCTTATCTTGCCTATGTAAAGTTATCCTTTCAGCATAATGCCAAAAGGGCACTATAGCAATTGTGGTTAAAATTAGACCAGGGGATCCAATGTGAGTTAATGTCTATGGTGCCTAATGGATCTAATTAACCACTGTGTACTATAATATGCTTCAACCCAGTCCTGAAAAGTCAGCTTTGGGCGGACCTCCATTTTAGAGAGAATTGTCACTTTTTAAAATTTAGTGAATGAGTTTAAAATAAAATCTATAACATTTTAGGACAAAATGTATTGGCTAAAATAGCTGTTTTCAGAGCTACCTTGTTCTACTGAGTATGGTTTATGGCAGGGGTATGCAGACTCCAGCCCTCCAGTTGTGGTGAAACGTCAAATCCCATCATTCATCTGCCTCTTGGAGTCATGGCTATGGCTGTCAGAGTCTTGAAATGCCTTATGGGATTTTTTGTTCCACAACAGCTGGAGGGCCAGAGTTTGCGCACCCCTGGTTTATGGTGTCCCTTTTACACCAACACATCCTTCTACATCTGTGTGTTCTCTAACCCTCAACCTATTCTAGCAAAGATACCCAGCCTGTCTACTCCACCTCTGCCTGTTATCATTTAAAGTAAACATTTGGTGATAATTAAAGTGACACTTATCTCAGAAGTTAAACCTTAAAAATGCATTCAAGTACCTTAAAGTGACATTAAACCCTCAGATTTTTTAACATAAACCAATACTGTAATGTGCGCCTTACTGTAATCCATGGTAGTTTCCCTTCTCTTTGCTGCTCTTCCTTTTAAATCTGTATCTGTTCTCATGCTCTGCAGAACTTCTGTTTTGCAGCAGACTGCCTTGTCTCAGGAATGGATACACGGTGTCTGTGTATACGTTTGTATAGGCTGAAACCTGAGCCAGCACTACAGGAAGAGGCCCTGAGCTGAAAAGGGAAGTTCTTCCCAAGCATGAGAAGACATGAGGATTTAAAAGGAAGAGCAGCAAAGAGAAGGGAAACAACCATGGATTACAGTAAGGCACACATTACAGTATTGGTTTATGTTAAAAAATCTGAGGGTTTAATGTCACTTTAATTATTACCAAATGTATCTTATTTGTGTATCGCTCGGCTGTAGATCCTCCAATCATCTCTGAATTGGTGCTGACACTGTCCTTCCTTCTGTAGGGGGGTCTACTTTTGTTCCCCATGGTCCCTGTGTGTGGTGTAAAGTAGTCACCGCTCCAAGCTCACTCCTGGGATGGACTACAATCTCAATACAAATTAGTAGACTAAATGTGAGCTTGTAGTCCATCACAAGAGTGAGTGGTGACTACTTTACAACACACACAGGGGCCATGGGGAACAAAAGTAGCCACCCTCCAGAAGGAAGTACAGTGTCAGCACCAATTCAGGGATGATTGGAGGATCTACAGCCGAGTGATACACAAATAAGATACATTTTTGGTAATAATTAAAGTACTTGAATGTATTTTTAAGGTTTAACTCCGGAGCTTAGTGTCACTTTAATTTATAAAACTGGACATCTATTGATATGAACATAGCAACCCGCTTGTAGGGTCACTGTCTGTGGCTGACAACACCTCACACATCTTGGCATTGGTTTGTAAGGCTATGATACAGGGTACAGCCTAGATCTACTAAACATGGGTGCGGTGCTGGTCCCTATTTGCATATCATAACATCCTGGTTCTAGGTCTCCCAGGGAACTCTAAAGGAAATCTAAGCTAACATGAATTATTTGTTGTTTGTTGCAGGTTACTTCTATTAGCTTTCTCCCTTGTTTTATTTTAAAGAGAACCTGTCATGTACCGTCACCTAACCTATGAATAAAAGAGCAGGGACTAGTAGACCAGGGACCAGCAGGTATGTTCGGCTACTCAAAGCATGGCGTCCTGGCCCCCAGACTACTTATGCATTTACCAAATTTATGAAAGTTAGGACATAGGCAGGGCTTTGCCCCTGCATCCAGCCATGAGTCTGAGGGACCAATTAAGCCAGGACATGGCATGTGAGCTGAAACAAATATTTATGTAGGCACTTCAGGCATTCCAGGGATGTGCTGGAGCCAAGTCTGTAGATACCAACATTAACAAACATAAGGTACTAGGCCCCACTTTCATACTTTGAGGTTTCTTTATTAAGGTCAGAATCATGACATGCTTGCTTTTATTTGTTGCCCTAGCTCACTGTTAGGAAGATGTCATTTCATGCTCCAACATGGGCACCATATACCAGACTCTTGAACAAGGATGCTATGAAAATAGACATTTAGGATAACCACAATATACACTGCCTGGCAAAAAAAAAGTCACCACCTGGATTAAGCTAAGCAGATAGGACAGAACCTTCCATTGGTTAATAGGTCTAGGTTCAGCAATGTTATGTCCCCAAAAAATGAGGTCAGCTGCTGACCTGAATATACTGAATGACCAGGTTTTACCATTAATGGATTTTTTTTCCCCTGATGGCACATTGGGCATATCCCAAGATGACAATGTCATCGGGCTCAGAATGTGAAAGAGTGGTTCAGGGAGCATGAGACATCATTGTCACACAGGGATCGGCCACCACAGAGTCCAGACCTTCACCCCATTGAGAATCTTTGGGATGTGCCGGAGAAGACTTTACACAGAGGTCTGACTCTCCCATCATCACTACAAGATGTTGGGGAAAAATGAATGCAACTCTGGATGGAAATCAATGCTGTGACATTGCATAAGCTTATCGAAACAATGCCATGGTGAATGTGTGAAAGCTAAAGGCGGTCTTTTGTTTTTTTTGGCCAGGCAGCGTATTACAAAATTTAATTACATGGATCAAACCAACAGATATTCAGGATAATACAAAAAAAGACATAATCTCGTTAAATAAGGTCCCTAGCCTTGTTTTGTTCTTTGTAGCACTTATTTCTCAGGGTACGACTTCGCCATATTTTAGTAACATGTATTGCTACTGAATTTTTATTGCAGGACATACGTTTTGTTTTGACAAACTGAATATTTTGCCTCTTCGATGCTTTATTTTTTTACATATGTTTTCTATGAAAAAAAAATCTAAAAATAGTTTGTGAAATAGCTATGATATTTGTTTTGGTTGCACTTTAATCCCTTTACATCCTGTTCTCAAGCATGTGCTGGGAAACCTTGGCACAGCGAATGGCTTTGTCTCGGGACTTCTTTCTTTATATTGTCATGGAGAATGCACTGCTAATGTAGCCAGATTGCACTCGTTCAAATCATTATGTGTTGCAGGTTTTTATATAGTACGGTCAATTTACGTGCTTTACCTACTGTTCATTCATCAGTCCCTGCCCTCAAGGAGCTTACAATCTAAGGCCCCTATCTCACACGCATACATATAAGAGCCAATTTAGACATGAGCCAATAAACCTACCAGCATGTCTTCAGAGTGTGGGAGGAAACCAGAGAATCCAGAGGAAACCCACACAAGCACAAGGAGAACACTCCATGCAGCTATTGTTTGAACCAGGTACTTCAATGCTGTGAGGCAGAAGTGCTAACCACTGAGCCACCGTGCTGCCCAAAGTACAGAAGAACTGGTATTATATGGGGACACTTCTGGCAAGCTTGGACACTATCAGGAAGTACAGGAGCTTGAAGGGACCAATAAAAGCTGCTTTAGACATGCAGTGCACCTACAGTGGGGAAAATAATGATTTGATCCCCTGCAGATTTTGTAGGTTTGCCCACTTACAAAGAAATGAAAGGTCTATAATTTGTATCATAGGTGTATTTTAAATGATAGAGACAGAATATCAACCAAAAATCCAGGA